CTCTCTCTCTCTCTCTCTCTCTCTCTCTCTCTCTCTCTCTCTCTCTCTCTCTCTCTCTCTCTCTCTCTCTCTCTCTCTCTCTCTCTCACTTTGTGCATGAACGTGAAGGTTGCTTGAACCCCCCTGTGACACTTCAAATAGTTGTCACAAGGGGCCGATCTTCACGTTAGCTAGAACCATCCATTAATTTATTTATTTTTGTTCACTCGTGTGAAGGTTCATTGCTACGTCAGTCCTCCTCAGTGAGTCTGTTGAAAAGGGTCACAAATCAGAGTTTGGAAGCAGCCCGAACAGTCACAAAGCAGCCCGAACAGTCACAAAGCAGCCCGAACAGTCACAAAGCAGCCCGAACAATCACAAAGCAGCCCGAACAGTCACAAAGCAGCCCAAACAGTCACAAAGCAGCCCGAACCTTTCAAAGCTTGGACTCTCTCTGTGACTGAATGCGGCGTGTCGACACATCAGCGTGTCTTGTCACCTGAAAAGTCGCCTTCTTTTTTCACCTTTTTCGTCGAATATACTTCGCTGATGATTGGAAGACCGACATGACAGATTGCAAAGTCACCTTTTTTCACCGTCTTCACCATTTTCACGTTCTTTTTTTCACTTTTTTCACAGACACACTTAGGTGCACACGAGAATGGGCAGGGGATGAGCGGAGGATTTCAAGTCTGGGGTTGCCTCCACATGGCGACCATAGGTGAAGTGGAGGCATGCTGCGCATGGCAGGCAAATATATTTTTCTGTATTATACATGAGGGAAGATCTTGAGGGTGGTTGGTGGAAGAGAGAGAGAGATAGGGCAAGAGAGAGAGAGAGTTGAAAACATGGCTATAAGGCATCTGCGAAGTGTTTAATGAACAAAAATCCTTGCAAATCTGCGGACCTCAAACATGAAGTCAAGAACAGACTCGGACTAAACCCTTTCACAACCGGATCCCGTGACTGCAATCCATGTTTCAGTAAAAACTTGACCGACACACAACCGCCCACTAGCCTGAATGACTGCCTTTCACTACGGATATCCTTTCCAAGATGTTTGAAAGGGGGATACGCAAAACTGGCAGCTTGACACACACATCCATATATGGCACTCCAATAAGAAAATCGCAGCACTAAATTACAAAGAGAATTGTGGCTACTCCGAACCAGATCCCTGCGAATAGTTGGAAGTGCGCCTCATCCGAGGTTCGCGCAAACTGCGAATAGCATCGGCGAGGATGACATAGCCCTTCTCCATCTTGTTGAAGCCAATGGTAGCGACCCGCTCACGTGCAGCAATATCCTTTTCCACAGTTTCTCTGTGGACTTCCAACTGTTTGACTGCAATGTCACGTGTTGTGCCACACCTCATCTTCACGCACTCTCGGTCTGACCGTGTAACTGCAGCGGTGTGATCACGCATTGCCCCAGTCACAGTCTTCATACTTGTTTCGCAGGCATTCGATGCCGTCCTTTTGCGTTTCCCAAGGGTTGCTTCAAAGGTTGTCGGCCTAGAGGTCGGGGTTCCCCTTTCGGATCCTCCACCCATGTCCTCACTCACACCCTCCGTATCCCCGCCCCCATGAGCCCCGTTGTTGGCCTCTTCCCGTCTTTCCTCTTTGACACCGAAGCCCCGCAAGTTAGATAAGTTAATGGAGTCGACGTCCTTCTCCACTGCGTTTATGGTGTCGTACCAACCGCACCTTATTACAAAATCTACATTGTACCTCTTTCTCTTCATCTGGTTCATATCCCAGTAACTCCGTAAGCCCGACCACCCTTCATGGATCTTAAGCCGTCGATTGAAGTCCATCACTTGACTAAACTTCCCCTTGGACTGCTCATGATCACGATTGTATCCTCTCTCCCACATGCGATCTTCGACATTCTTCCAAAACCCTGCCTTTGCGTGAGCCCCTCCCATGCCCTCTGTCTCCTCACCGAGAAGTGCCTTTGCCTCGTTGCGTGCTTGGCAAAGCACCGTGGTCTCCTCCTCCCCCCAACCTATACGAGTTTTTCGGCACATCAGACGGTCTCACACGTCCGCGTTGCGGACGCCCCCCCACGGATGATTCGTCACCCCCAACGTCTGTTGTCGGGATGCTGGACGGACCTCCGGCCCCGCCACCATTGTTCGGCGCATGGGCATTGGCAGAGCGACTTCGCGGTGTTCATGGGGAGACTTGTGCAGGTATGGCCAGCTCCAGATTGTCAACCCCACCATCGATCACACCCGCACTCCCCTCTATCGAAAAAAAAAACAGCTTCCACGTCGCGCACAAGACGATTGATGATATAATCAGACCCCAGACTCTGTTGTGAAGTGCTCCGAGAATGAACCCCCCCTGACGGCGGTGTGACACTGTCTCCTACCCCTCCCCTGCTCGAGCGGGGTGGAGGGGTAACGCTTCCACCGCCGTCAGATCGGCATCGCTGCAGTCGCCGGGCGCCAAAAGCAACGTTGCGGGACTGACACTGTGCGACGCCTCGGAAAAAGAAGGGGACGAATGCGGAACCCGGCTACCAGCCACCACAAACGGATCCCGTGACTGCCCCTCCGTCATGGCTATGGCACGCATCCGTAACTGCTGCCTGAGGGAATTCTCATCCCGTCCACTGACCCCATAACCTAGCCCCGCAATGGGAGCTCATGAACAGGACAGAGGAGGCGACAATGTGGCATCCACGTCACGACAAGTGGAGGCCCTTCCCTACACGGGCGCCCCGAGAGAGCCGTGATGGCCCCTTGTCCCAAAAAACTGGGAATTGGGGACCTGAGTGCCCAACACGTCTGCCACGCCAGCCCCAGTTTCCTCCGTACAAAAGGCATGCTGAGTGGCAATTAGAAAAGGGGCAAACCCTGGTTGTCCTGGCAATGCACCGGGTTGTTGGGCATGGTCGGCACGGGGAGTCCCATATTGGGACTCCGTGTAGGCCCAGTCCACAATACAGGACAGTCCCGCATCCTCATTTGTTGCTTCCATGGGAGAAAAATGGAGCCTGGCCGAAGAAAGGTGGACGAGGCGTCAGGGGCGAATACCTGTCAGTCGATGGCGTCAACGACTACCACAAATGGAGATGGCATCGAATAGAAGTCAGAAAGGTTGGAAACGGACAGGACAAAACCCTTCAGCACGTAACGTAATGGGGCACGGACTAAACCGTGGAGGTGAGATGTTGCACAACTCGGCGGTTTCCACATGCGATTCACATGCCATTTGGGGAAAGGTCCACTACCGACGTACACTCGAAAACACTGCCTCAAGGTGAGTCGGAAAATGAGGAATGAATCTGGCCGGAATGCTTGGTTGTATAAAGGCATCGCGATGTGCACCTACCCACGAAACGAGATGGGAACAGGTAAAATGAAGTTTTGTACGTGTTGGTTGGTAAGGGGGTAAGAAACGACCTTCGTTTGCGGACTGCCAGACGACATTTTTTTTTCATTTTGCCATTGCACGGCCAAAAGTGGGGCCCGTGAAGTCTTGAAAACGGCCCCTACCTCTTGAAGTCTTGTTTTGCAGACCGCCATGCACTGTTTTAGGTGATTTTCCTTTGGACTCACATGCTTTTCCTTCGAACGGGATTGGCTGGCAGATTCCCTGTTCTGAGTTCACAGATGGCAAAACCTCCGACCGTCGAATTTGAGGTGCATCAACGACGATGAAATGTCACCACGGGCCACACATGATCGAAAAGCCCACAACGACGTAATATACTTGGCTAGTGGGTCAAGGCCCATGCAATGCTAGTGGTGCTGACAAAAACAGACACCACTAGCACCCAGGGAGAGGCTCCATCTATTGGTGGGGAGCATCACCTGCTGGAAAACGGGTCCAACATCCCATTACAGAATGAAATACAGAATGAATACAGGCTGGATCAAGAGAAGATGATTGTGAAACCTGCCAGCATTGATTACTCTGGCACCCAGAGGATTGACTGTGCAGGTTGTTAAGGGAGGGGAGGAAACCTCTTCGCCCTAGTACCAGGCGCCAGATATAAAACTAGTTCCTCCCTTCTTCCTTTGAAATGCTGAGTTAAAAACTGAGTAAAAAACTGGGAAAAAAAAAAATGAGTAAGACTGAATAAGACAGGGGCCTTGTGCTGGAAAACAAATCCAGCGTCCCATGTCTCTTTTGAACTGCTGAGTAAAACAGAAAACCAATGCTTCCTAAGCTGATAATGCAAACCTCTTAACCTGCCTCATAAGCTGGCTAGGGAGGCCGGAGGGACCTGCTGGGGGGCACCAACGTTCCTCCTTCCGTTACCTCACTCACCCCAGGGCCAGCTTTGAAGTTGTCTTCTCAGGCTAGGATTTCGGCATGGGGAGGGAACGGGTCTGGGAAATCAGCGCGGGGGCGCAAAGGGAATGAGGGTTCTATCTGAGTCCAGTCGTTAAACTCGAGTCTGTAATCTCTCCGCTCCATGTGACCTTCGCTACCCATCCTTCCCTTTCTCCACCCAACCAATTTGTGCAGAATGTTGTAATCGCCCTCCTAACATCTGTAGTTTGTGCGAAGAGGTCCAACTGGGTCTTAGTGTCAGACCACTTTCGCATCAATGACAACGGTATCTGCTGTTTAATTTGTTATGTAATTTCCGCCCCTTCTACCCTCACTTTGTCCCAGGCCAGAACGCACTTGTGCCACCAAAGAGCTCACATCACCGCCCTTCTGCCCAAATAGAACATATTCTCAACAAACTCCAACCCTTCTCCTGCCAGCGGCCAAAGGCCAACCAGAATAGCCCGCCATGACCATGGCCAGGGGATCTGTGTCACCATCTTTCGCCAAATCCGGTCCCACCATCGCCACGTAAATTGAGCTATTGGGCATTGCATAAAGACATGCTCGATGGTCTTTATCCTCTTATGGGCAGGATACATAGTCTGACATCACTGACACCACGGCATCGCCAGACCCCGCTGCTCTAAGTTAGTACGATCTATTAGCCAATCATTAGGCGGCAAACAGCGGTGTACTATTTGCCACTGTAAGGAAGAGATTTTTGCCGGTTTAGACTTCTGATCTTTAAACAAGGGGATCGGCGTCAGCAGGGAGCGGTCCACGTTTAGCTGTTTGGCCCAGCGGTCCATAATTACATCCCGTAGGTAACGTTTAGGCCTAACCATCCTGTAGGCAGATTTGACTGACAACTGGTGGAGGGTTAAAGGACCTGTTGTATCCGTCCCCCTTCTCTGGGGAAGTGCCCAAGTCCATTCAATTGGGTCCAGGGGCAATTCTTGAATAACCCATTACGGTTGAAAGGTCGTCTTCTCCGCTCTCTCTTCCATAACCCGGATCCGATATACCGATGTCTTCGTCACCCATTCAAAGGGAGCTCTACTTCCTTCGAGGGTCCCCTTTCTGGTAACAGCATAATATTCCACTAGGACCATTTGCGGGTCTACCATATGTATCCGACCAATTCGTTGCGGGACTTCTTTGGTCGCCACCCAATCCCCCTCCCTGAGGGAGGGTCCTCGTTTAAGGATAAGGTACCATGCCAACGGGATGGTCTCGATGAGGTCTTCCAGATTTTTCTCCACATGATGACAATAACGCATAGTGTCCCTCATTTGGTCCGCCGTTTTCCAGTCCCGTGTCTCCTGATCCCAGATATCCCTTATTCTAATCACTCCATGTTTAACCCAACTTTTTCATGGCAGGCTGGAGCTCGACCTGGTACATCCCCTCCGATCCGTCAACCAACAGTTTCCAAACAGACGTTGACGAAACACCTCTTCCCAACGGCCGGGGAAAGGTTTGTGGGGGAGTGGGAGTCGTCGCCACACAGCCAACAGGGATGGCCAAAAACCATCTCTTGGCTGGACCTCACCTACCTGTGCATCTCCCCTACATGGGATTTTCCCCGGAACCGACCAGGAATGGTCCTCTATCCAGGTCAATGGATGCACTCCTCGAGGAGCGGCTGGAGCCAAGCAAGCCAGATGCGTGAGAGTCACTCCACACCACGGGTTGTGGGGTGAGAAAATCAATTTTTTCACCAATTGTAAACGCAATGCCTGAACTTGGGCGGCTGGGCCTATAACCCCTAGCCCCCCCCGGGCTTTGGGCTAGAGAATCGAATCCCACGCTACCCTGCTGATAGCATTGCAATTTTCGTTGTCCCCCCCCCAAAGGAAAGTTGTTGCCTTTCTTTTGAGTCTCGTTAATGCACCTTTGGACAATGACCATAATATCGATTTGTACCACAAGGCTGCAAAAAGTACATTATTGATGATCAGCGTTCGACCATAAAGGGAGGCGTGTTTATTGTTCCAATCACGCAGTTTTTGCAGGGGGGGTTGCTTATCCATTTGTCATTAGTCGGAGGGCACCCCGCTGCTGTAATGGATACTCCTAAAATTCTCAGTGGAGTTTTTAGTGGCATCCATGCGACTTGCGGTGAGTCTGGAGGGCGCCCCCCTTGGTAGTGAATCCACCACCCTTATGTCTTTTTCCCCCAGTTCACTACCAGATCAGAGACTTTTGTAAATTTTTCCATCAATTTCTGAATTTCCTCCAAATTGTTGTGTGTGGCTTCTACCATAATTGCGAGATCATCTGCAAAAAGTGAGCAGATGGAGATGGCCTCCTCCGGTATTTGTGAGATCCGAATCCTAGTGATGCTTTTATGTGTCCGAAGGTTTGCGGCCAGCGCCTCCATAATAATAAAAAATAGAAAGGGAGTGATCGGGTCACCTTAGCGAACCAACCGTTCTAGCTTAGGAGGCGGCACTAAACTCCCATTAACTTGAATGTAGGTAGTCGCATTCTGATGAAGGATACGAACCCACCTCCTAAATGTTGGTCCAAAATTCATCCTCTCTAAACACTTATCCAGAAAAAGCCAATCAACATGATCATAGGCCTTTTCAAAATCAATGAAAATTAGAGCCGCATTCTGGCGAGAGTGTCGAGCTAACTGTAGGACCTCATGTACTAGGAGGATGTTTTCCTGTATGTTCATGTTTTTCATAAAACCAGTTTGTGACGGATGAATAATATCTTTCATTACTGTTATCATACGATTACCCAAGGCTTTTGACAACATCTTATAGACAACTGTGAGGAGCGTGATGGGCCGGTAGTTGCAGATATTCATCCTATCCCCTTTTTTGTAGAGAAGGGTTAGCGCCCCTTGCCCCACCCGCTCGCCCATTTCCCCAGTCCGCCATACTCAATCAGAACCCCGCTCCATTCAGACAGCTCTATCCCTCAACTGGTCTCATAAATCGTGACGGACCCGCCGGGATGGCGGTCCGTCAGGATCAAGACGAAGGGATGAGGATGGGGGAGATGGAAATGAAGCTGGAAGGGACAGCGCAACTCCAACACAGACTCAGCACGCACGTACTCCAATCTGTGCAAATGAAGAATGAGACACAAAACAGACTGCAGCTGGGGTATACCCCCAGCGGACTGATTGGACTGGACTGGACTGAATAACCGCACGGCCTGTGGGGTCAGGCCACGGCCTGGTCCCACAGGCCGGACTGGCAAATAGCCAAATAGGCCCTGGCTGTGGGCCAGGGCAGATGAAGGTCCGCTGCACGATCCTCATACCTGTAATGGATCGCAAGAGTCATAAACACGCTATCCACAAAAGCAGCGGAACTCTGCAATAAAGAAAGCTGAGAAATCTAGGATGCGGAGCAAGCTCCATGCAGAGTCCATGCGATGCATCCTAAGCTATATAATGTCAAAAGAAAAGCAAATGTCTGGTATACATATCCTAGCTAACAACAGAAAATGAAATGTAGTATGATACACTCCTGAAGTCCTGGAGGCAGTGACCTCAGTGCTGAAAGGAGAAGAGCAATATATCACAAGATAATGTCATGTCGCTGAACCACTAAAAGTGGGATGGTCTCAGAGGGGGTGAATGCAGCCTAAGAATCGAAACTCCTAAGGGCAGTCACACATGAAGGTGGGATAGGTCATCARGCTCAAGGTGGGAGAGTGGTAGCGAAACAAAACTAATGACCCTAACAGATAGACCATCAAGGCGGGTAATGCTCGACAAGGGTGACACCATGCAGGGTCGACCATGAAAAAGGGGAGCTTGGAATAGGGTGGAGATATGTCTAACTGAAGGCATGCAAGGGCCGGCACTAGGGTGATGAGGGCAGTGGGTGAGGGAAACATGCACACAACTCACCGACTGGGGGAGGAAGGAGCTAGATCTGGGAGCAGGGARRYYAAGATAACGCTACGGTCCCAATGCCTATGCGATACCAAGGGAGAGCCCAACTCAAAGAGACCCAGCTAAGTGAGAACCATCATGCGACARATGCAAGGGAATGTACAAGGTAGGGTGGTGGCGTGAAGTAGTCACGTCCAAAGTAGCTGAAGCCGATAAGGTAGCTGAAGTCGTCGAATCGGTCGATGACGTCGATGAAGTAGCAGTCGAGTCGATGTCGAMGCAGAGCCGCAAAACGCTGACATCCTGAAGAAGAGCTGATGATGGAGTACCTGATGGTGTGAGTCAGTRGGGAAAGATGGAGGATAAGAGTGTCAGTCATCGTAACGTGAAGGGCGACGATGAGTGCGCTGTGGACRCTCGGAGGCGACYATCTGCGGCTGAGGAACGRCCTCAGAGGGAGCGGGCTCATCCTCAGCGATCTCCTCAGCCGGAGGAGGAGGAAGAGGGTCAGTCGGCTGAGTAGAAGMAGATGTCCCRGCAYGACGAGCACGMTCATATGCACACACCAACATCCTGGCGTGCTGCAAGTGCTCGAGGGGCTCCCAAGTAGCCTCCTCATCAGGGTAGCCCTTCCAACGCACAAGGTACTCGATGCGTGGAGGGGTATCGTCGGTAACTCGGCGTGATACGATGTCGGAAACAACGAACTCCTCGTGACCGTCCACCATGATAGGTGGAGGGCGCTCATAAGGGCGTCCGGCGAAGCACTCGGACGGTCTGCGATAAGGACGCAGCAAGGAGACGTGGTAAACATCGTGTAC